GGGGAGGGGAGGGGGGGAACCCCTGCCCGGGCCTTTCCTCCCCCCCCTCCAATGCCCGCGACCAATCAGAGCGCCGCTCTCATCCCCGCACCGCTCCGCTGGGAGCCTCGCCACCAATCAGAGCGGCGGTGATTTATTTGGGGGGGGGCGGCCGGCTCCCGCTTTACACGGCAGGTAGGGCCGGGTCCATCTGCCCCTCCCCGCTAGATGAAGAGACGAGCACAAGATCTCCACAGCCCCCCGTGCCTCATCTCGCAGCCCCTCGGGGTATAATTCTCTGAAATTGTGTCAAAAAATAGCAGTCTGGAGGGATTCGCTGTAAGTTTATTTATATACTTACAAATTAAAAGCTGAAGCAAGAGCTATTAATATCTGTCGAGGGTCAGCCAGTGAGGGAACTGCCCCCAAAAGGACTCCTTCTGCCTAACAGGACCCCAGCTGGCGCTGGTGTTTCTTTTTTTTCATGGTATATGTGTTGAAATCCTAAATGTCAGCTCAGAGAAGGATAATCATTACTGTTGTTCAGATATTTAACTAATTGGTCATTCCAATGGGGCTATCGCCATAGTTTTGTTTCTGCTTGTCTTAGAGAGGTGTTTGTATTATGGAGGCATGGAAAAATACTGCTTTTCTTATTCCTTATTTGACATTAGCATGTGCTCAGAAAGCCATTTGATCTAGTAGCTCAGCAGCTATTAAATAAGACAATCTCCGTGTTTTGTACCTTTTAACTTTATTCCAAATGGTTTCGTGAACTGCGTGTGTGCACATTCATAATAAACACTGTTCCACTGAAGCGTGGGCAGCTACAGATCCTGCAAGGGGCCATTGTGGCTAATTGACCCAAAATCCACTAAAATAGGATGGGTAAGTTTTGGTTAAAGATGAGTCACTGCTTTTAAAAAACTGGTTCTGCTCATTCTCTGCCCAGGAGAATAGTGAGAGGGTCAGATCTTGGTGCAATTAAGCATGCTTCTCTAGTAGGTCTGTCTTTTGAAAACCTGAGCTACTCTTTTAAACTAAGAAGTGCAGGTATATATTGAAATCATCCCCTGTTGTACTGACCCATCACTTCCATGAGCAATCAAGAGTAAAAAAAAAAATAAAAATAAGCAGATATGCAAATTTTCTAACTTGTATTTAGGATCTTGACCTTAAAATATTAGGTAAGAAATTATTTTAAAACTGAAATGAGCAGAATTAATTACCAATTAGAAGTTTTTTGGGTTTGTGGGGCTTTTTTTCCCCTCCACAATAATTTTTCACTCCTCTGGACAGTTCTCTTAATCTGGATTATGAGAGTCATGGAGTCAATTTATTCCTCTATCCTATAAAAACAGTTCTAATTTCATTATATACCATACTGAAACATTCGGATAACAAATAGCACAAGGAAATACATGAGACCCAACAAAACTGCTTTATTTCCTTTTAAGTCTTAACAACTACACGTATTGCTTCTGAAAAATCAAAGTGTTTTCAGTGTTGCATTTTTATTTGAGATTTCCAAGAGTCTCCCTTACATTTTGAAGATTTACTGGCTCCAAGACACAGTATTGTGCCACGTTTTCATGCTTATAGTTCCACAATTGTGCACAAAACAGCGTGGGACCTCTGGGCTGTCCTTTCCTGGTACGTGGGTCATATTCTGAAAGTTATTCCACAGTTGGGGTTTTTTTTTACCCCCTCTTAGCTTGGAAAGGCCGATTCAGTGCAAGCACACATGGGCTGCAACAAACTGCCAGATGAAGCCAAAGCATGCTGGTCCGATTCATCATCTTCAGGATCTGGAATCTGATGTAAAGCCTATTGTGTTGCCCATATTTTATGTGTTGTTTCTGATGCTCCAGCATGGGCTTTGTTTTTCCAATAGCTTCATGCTCTTGGAGGGAGAGAAGCCATCACATTAGGTTCTTTTATTTCTAATCTTCATAGTTTAAATATGCTATGTAATATCATTTCCACATCCACCTATACTGTCTAGAACAGTGCTGCAACCTTTCACCAGATCCTCCTTTTCCCCCCTTGTCTTCTGGGTCATCGGATCTGTATCTCCGCCTCTGCATCACCTCATTTGGATACTGCTGTTTCAGCACTGCCTCTGCTGCATGTGTCCTGTCCTGCCTGTTCTGTCTCTTGCCTGTGGCCACTACAAGGCTCATTTTTCTGGGCCACAGCCCTGTCTCCCACATCGAAGGGTGTGTGCTGACATCCTCCCAGCAAGGGCCGTTTTCTCCCTCATTTCAGGCTCCAGGTGGAAGAGCATACTTTAACCCAAGCCCATTTCATTTACTTCTGAATATCTTTTTGACCCAACTCTTTCCCTTGAAGCTCTTCAGCTATTCCCTTCACCTAGTAAAACCACTTTCACAGGTCTTTGCCTTAAAAACAAACCTCCCACACCCGGACCACAGTCCCCTAAAGCTGCTCACCAACACTCTTTCAGCCCTCCTAGAAAGCTTGTTTGTTCTTTTCCTGTCTATACCTCCTTGTTTCTGGTTTTGTTGAGGTTACCTGATTTTTCTTTATGACATTATCCCATTTTGAGAAGCACATAGATTAAAACATGACAAAGAAAAATGCTGTAAACTCATTTGAGTTATTAGAGCAGCAGACGATGCCTTGCTGACCCTATTGACCTCCCGGACTACCTCTGTGCATGATAAGTAGGTACTTGTGCCTAGATTTCCAAATTAAACTGTGCACAGATTGGGCTACTATTGTGGTACCCATCTAACTTCCCGTGTGCAAGTCAGCAGCTGGCTGTGATTTAAAACACCAATCTAGAAGATGGAAAAACTTCAGCTCTCCATGTTTCTCTTAAAACCTGCTAAATTATAATGCAAGTGAAATGTAATTACTTTACATCCTGCACAGAGAATACAGAACATGGTGAAGGCAGAAATATGAGTTTACTGGTTTAGAGCAAGCCACAATAAATTTAATTAAAGTGACCTCATGTAAAACACAAATACAACAAAGTTATCCTATTTTAACTCTCAGGGTCATTTCCCCCTGAAAAAAAAAAAAAAAAAAAGTTTAACGAGTTTATTTGAACAAGCTGAGTTAATCCCCTTATACTGCAAGAAAAGGTTTGACTAAATGAAGTTGGGAGGTTTAAGTGTGCTTTAATAGCATCTACCTAATAATCTCAAAAATTTTAAAATTATTTAACTTTAAATTATAAACATGCCATTGGAGAAAGCATTTCATCACATACATTCTTTACTGGCCACCCTTTTGCCTGATCTGTACCCACCCAAATGGCATTTATTCCCCAATATTCATGAGAAATGTAGGCAACAGGCACAGTAATAAGGGAGGAAACAACTCACACAGCCCCCCCCCCGATATCTTTACGGTGCATTTGGTAAGAGGTGCCTCAAGTCTTGGGAAATAGGAGCTTTTCAGTTCACTGTGAAAACCTATCTAGCAAAGCCATGCTGTGGCGTAGGGATGGGAAAAGCCAGTTCTGGCCGCAAAAAAGCCTGCAGGGAAAATACTTTGCCACTCACATACCAGTATCTCCCCATTATACCCATATTTACTAAGGCTGCTGCTTCTGAGGGCGTCTTGAGATCTCTGGGTTTAGGGGAAGATAGAAATCAGCCAAGAGATTTAGTGTTTCAAAAGTTTTGATGTAAACTGCCTGTTTGCAAGCTTTTACAGGGTGAGAAAAATACTTTTCATTCTTGTGCACAGCTGCTACCGTGGAGTCCTGGCCCTTAAGCAAGGCAGCGAGGTGGTTGTGGTACCAGTAAATGCCCCAGCTCACAGGCGACGGCGAGTACAGGAACCAACGCAGCAGAGTTGTTCTTTGCGTTGCGAGACTTCCTAATTACTGGAACATTTCCCAGAAATCTGCGCTGGACAGATGTAGTTCAACTTCAAATCCAGGTCATCTACTTCATCTGGGATTACTGTTTATTTAGTATATGCATTTCTTCTCTGGGAAAGACCTTCAACCACAATTAGTGTTACAATCCTTAATTGAAAGTACCCAACTTCAGTAGCTGATTTTTGACTCAAGCTCAGGTGTCACCACTATCCAGTTCTGGTTATGTAGGAGCATTGTCATTAGTAGGAAATCATTTGTTCATCAACTGCAAAGTAAACACAGAGGCCGTTTGGGTTTCCTCTCCGTTAAGCAAGCTGGAATGACTCAAAACTATTGACAATGCTTTTTAATATTTCCAAGTTTGCTCAAAAGTTGAATATTCTCTATTAAAATTAGTCCTGTATTTAGGCCTAAAAAAACCCCCCATAAATACTTAAAGGATTTTTAACTTTTCTAGAAGGTTTCCTCATCTCTCACACTGGAAAAGGACTTGTTAATACATGTCCCTCTGGTAGCTGTTTTCAAAAAAGTGATGAGATCATACAGTCAGTCTTCCCCAGCCTTTACTGGGGAAGAAGAGATCTTCAGAGATATTCCTCCTGCTTCTGGATATGCTTAGTAGATAAAGAGAGGCAACACAGAAAAAAGTGCAGTGATAACTTATGGTAGATGTTTAGACAGCAGCTACTTTTTTAAAAAAAAACCCACATTTTATTATATAATTTAATATATGTGCAAATCATACACTCTGTTTATCTGGGCTTTTTATATAATGGCAAAAAGTAAATCCCCTAGCTGGAAAGACTCAGTATTATTTTTCAATATGTATAAAGATAGAAGATATTTATCTGTCAGATTAAGTCTTCCTCCTTCACCAGAATTTAGAAATTAAGAAATCTGACCTTCTCATGGATGTAGGAGTTGGCAGGAAAGCTTCCAAGCCACCCAGTCCCCTCCGTGACAACACTATATAGCCTGGGCAGGCTTCCTCTTAGAGAGAAACTGAGACTCTTGTTCTTGCAGCCTTGAACAAGAGACTAAAAACATCACTGAAGACAAGGCCCATTTTTACTTATTTGTTCTTGTGCCAACATTTTTATGCAGTTTAAATAGGGGACTTTTTTCTTTCCCCTGTGTTTACTCTCCTGATGTATTTATAGGCAGCAGTCATAGCCTCTCCTGAAGTTTATTCCGCTAGACTACACAGGCCACATTTCTTTCATCTTCTCCTGTATAACACATTCCTCATTCCCCCATCTGTCTTGCTAGCCCCTCTGCTATAGTGGGGCAACAGAGCTTTTAAAAAGAATTTTTCATCTCACATGATACATTTTCCAAAACAGCTTTAGAAACCCTTAATGATTTCTAAGAGTAAAAAAAAAAAAGCCTCCCCTGGGAGGTTTTGAGCTCTTATCCAAAAGTCTGGATCTCCAAGCTTGTGAAAGTACTCATCAGATACAGTCTCACCCTTCAGCACCTGAACAAGAGTAAGGCTTATCTGGAGATGGCAGTCAGGGTCATTTAAGAATCCAGGTCATCAGGCAAGTCCAAGAGAATGAGGCAGGTGTGCTGTCCAGACAGGAATTAAACCTATAGGTCATGATATAGGGTGGGGAGGACAATCAGGATTAGATAAAATCCAGGAGGTACTTCCCAAATCCAGAGCAATAAAACAGATTTAAGATCAAGCTAGAACTGGAGATCTGTATCTAGGCATAACTATCTTCAAGCTGAAGCCCAACACTTCTCTGGAATCATTCAGGGAAAGAAGGAGGTCCCTGGGCTTGGCTTAAATAGAGCTCCTGGTCCTGTGGGTGGAGGCCCCAGGTGAAGCTGCTCAGGATCACTAAGATTTGTTAGTGGCTTCAGGCCCCTGGCAGGGTGCTATCTTGGTAGGGCTTTGTCACTGCAGCAGTCTTGATTTTTGTCAAAGTATTTGTGGTTTGGGCTTTTTTTGTCTCTTAGGTTTGCTTTAGATTCGGTCTTAAATGTAATGTTTGTACTGTTACTCTATTTATTAAGAGCTTGTGGGTTTGGTGTAAAAAAGCAATTTTGGAGGTGGTTGTATGCTTCACTTTTTTTTTTTTTTCCCCCCCTGAGGTTTTGAGTCTTTGCTTACTGCATTTTCAAGTTTTTCTTCAATTTTCTATCATAACAACTTGAGAGTTAGACCTCTGAGAAGAAAAACGCTGTTGAAATTTTCCCACGGGGTTCTGGGATTTTATGGCTAAGTGGAAGAAAAACAACTTTTGCAACGTTGGTGGTGTTGCGCTGCTATCAACACCTCTGGCACAGCAGACTGCGGCGTCCTGTTTGAGAACCTGACCCTGCAGCAGGAGCTGTACGAGCAAACACGGGCAGCAGCGTGGGGCTGTATTGATTTAGATGTCACTTTGGATTGTGTTCAAAATATTTTTGCAGAGGGGTTCTTTGCAGTTGGATGTGTCCTTCGAGAGGGTAGTTGTCTCAGTGGATGAGAAATGTTTATTTTAGTGACTGATTAGTTTAAAGGAGGGGATGTTTTGAAACTAAACTGAGTTTGAAAGGTAAGTGTATTCCACCCACGCTATAGCCAGAATACCTGAGCGCCTTTGAATACAAGTGTCTTAGGAGAGCAGTAGGTATCATAGAGCAAATGTATAGCAAACGCCAAGGCTTGTCAGGTAGTTCAATGCTGCCTTATCTCGAAAGCTGACAAAAAGAAAATGGTATCATCCGAGACAGCCATTAAGATTGAAGCCGCAGCCTCTGCCCTGGTGCAGATGGCTGCAAATGAAAAACTCCTGCTGCCAGCCAGACAGGAAAAACGTGAAAATTTGCTGCACAGAGGAAAAGCGCAGAGCTGCCGGGAGCAGGGAATTCTGGCAGCTCCTCCACTGCGTTTCAGACGAACGGTGCTGGAGGAGGGATGCAGATACTGTAGGCTATGAAGAAACACCGCATCAATCTGCTTCTCCAAAATCTTTCAGAGAACAGGACGTAGACCCATTATTTTGAGCCAATCTCTTTTTTTTTTTTTTTTTTAAGGAAATCATTCTTGTCAAAGTTCATGTCATTCAGATGCACCCAAATGTTATGTATTCCAGGTGTGCCCAGGCATCTGGCCAGCTCGACTCACAACATCACAACAGAGGTGTTTTGTTTGGGTTTTTTTTTTCAAACCAGCAGATTTACAGGGTAAGGTGAGAGCATTCTTTCAAACACAGTTATGACAGTACTTAATTTCTCTGTTATTACAGAATTGTTCAACTGTTGCTTTGAACTCTTGTAACCTCAGCCTGCATACAGTGGAAAAATTCAGGATTTGCTTGCCTGAGCATGAGGCTGCAGTTCACAATAAAATATTTGCTGCAGTTCCAGCTGAGAGTGCTTGCATGTCCTGTGTCATGTTAGGTTTGCTCTGCCTTAATTTTGCAGGGACGCTTATGGATATTTGTTTCAAGAGTTCTGCTGCCAGAGTAGAATTGATATTTCCCAGTGCTCTGAAATCCATTTGCTTGGGAAGATTGTCTTTAATACACTACAGTGGGAGCTCAGGTAGGATTTGGGCTGTAAGTTTTTATCAAAGGATCCCAGAATTTGACCTCTGATTTTCAAAATCTACTGAAATTTGCTGCTTAATGAATTTGTCTGAATAATAGAGTACCACAGTAATAGCTTGGGTATTTCTTAAAGCAAATTTGGAATCACTTTAAGACTTACCAGCTGCAGGCCCATTCAATCAGTAGCCAATTTTTCCACTGAAATGTCTTTTTTGCCACTGGGGTAACATTGTCTTGAAAGTTACGATTTTAGTTGCTGAGATGTTTTAGAAGGCAAAGGAGAAGAATACACCTAAGATGCCTGGGTCATTTTACACTTCATGGATCAGTCTGATAAGGCTGAATTCATCTCCCTAGCGAGTTCTGTTTCATCCAAGAATACCCGAATAACTTGAATGAGTCACTTTGCATCCTCACAGTCCTCTGCAAATGCAAGAGGTTGTAGTAAGACATCTCCTTCTGTGTTAATCTTTGTAGTGAATTCCAGAGCCTGGCTCTTTTTCTCTGCCCCCTCCTCAGTAATTCCCTGCAGGACTTCTAGGAAACCTGCTGGTGATGCCTGTTTTCATTTTTTTCCTTCCCACAGTTTGGCCCTTAACTAGTTTTATTTTGACCCATTGACTTTCTCTTATAGAGATTGTAGAAACTGTAGAAAAAAAATTTCACAAAATACTATTTCATTTAATTTAGAGCAGCTGCAGCACAGCAAAAACACCTTAAAGGTATAATTAAGACTAAAAGACAATTCGGTATTTCTGTAACACCTGCTGAGAGCTTATCTCCTTTTGTAGTCTTTCACCAGGTTTTCTTTAACAGCTGACATGTTGGTTGATAATATAAATACAAAATAAAAATGAATGAAAGAGCCCTCTACCGTACAGAATGCAGGCTTCTTTCATGATGAAATACTCAATAGTGAATCACGCAATTGTTGAAAAGCTATTGGCAAGCATTTGAGTCAAAGGCAGAAAAAAAGACTTAATGTCTGCGGTATTTTTCCTTCCCTTACTTTAAAGAAACGTTTTCACAATGCAAGAACCTTTAGCGAAGAGAACAACGCCACATAGCCACAAACTCATTTGATTATTATTTTCCATTGCTGTACTTCTCAGATGCTTTTTGGTAGATTATTTCCTGCCCTGTGCCAGATGCTGTTTTCATTCACAATGAAGTAATAGTCCTTTGTGAGTGATATCACAGTATTATACTACGGCCCTTATTGTGACTTCTCAAATTTAACGTACTGAAATACATTCTTTGTTGGTTGTTTGGGGACTTTTAGATCTAGGGTTTGATTGAAGTCAGTCTGTAACAAAAAAGAAAGAACAGAGCTCAGAGAACTTGGACAGTCTGCAATTTGCAGAAAAACACGGAAACAAAAGAAGGGCAAAGAGGAAAAGTTTGAATATTTGATATATGCTATCCGTTCTTGTGCAGACGGAGGAAAAGCTTGAAGTAAGACTTGTGTAACTTACTGTTTTTCAGGTTTTGAGATGGCGTAGGTATTTAATTGCTGACCCTCCCAGGGGATCTACCCGTGTGCTGGGCTGCTGCAGCTGATGCTGGATCAGCAGGTAGCATTCGATGAGGTGGGGGGAACCTGCTTTGGGGTCGGCTCCTCTTCCACACCTCTGCATGTGCTCCCTGGCCACAGCCCTGGCTCCGCGCCCACACGCTGAGGCAAATCCAAACAAGTAATTTCTAGTTCTTCAACTAGCTCACAGGGTTAGGCCCTTCTAAACGTAGGCTAGAAACTCTGCAGTTCCCTTTTAGGCATGTGATCTGTGGGTTTCATATCACAATGACACAATTCTATCCTTTGCAAGTACAAGGTTTATTAAAACTGGTGTATGTGTTTGTGCCAGTGTCCAGGTGCATAGAAATGAGTTCTTTTGAAGGATTATATAAAGGTATATTTTCCGGAAGATGGAACAAATACAAGGGATCCAGTTGAGTTACTTAAGGCCTGATCATGCATGGAGTGCAGTGCTCTGAATTTTAAATGCAGGTTGGAGCAGTTAGCATCCCCCAGGTCCATGTAGGCTTGCAGAGGTGTGTCTGTGTACACACATGTATATGGATGTATTTACGCATAAATTGAGCTAAAGACATAATTATGCATGCTTACTTTTTCCCTCTTAGAAGTAAACTGGTAATTATGAAAAAGCACGTAAGATGGAAGATATTCCTTTAAGTATTGATTTAACATCTTTGCTAAGTAGACACTTTTTTGGATAGCTTTTTACCCTTTCCAGTTAACAAAGGAGCTGGCAAACAGGTCTGTCATCCAGCTATATTTTCAGGAAGTATGGAGAAGGTCTCATTAGACTTTTCTGTTAAAAAAAAGAGGGAGATATTTATAATACCTGAGAGAATATTGATACATTTAACTGTGCTGATATATGAGATTTAAAAAAATAGAAAATGTGGTCAAATTTTGCCCTTCTTGTAGTCCACTGAGACTGCACCAGGTAATATGTCGAGGAAAAATTTAGCCAAAAGCAGTTTTGAGGGAAACAATTAAAACGCAGGTAAATGAAGATGTCTGGCTGACCAGAAGAATCTGTATTCAGATGGCGACTCTTTCATTACTCATACTGCAATGCTTTCTGAAGTATATTTTCGTATCATCATTTCCCATTTTAAATTCAGCTCTTAAATCCCAAAAGGGAATTAACTACCATCCATTTGCATTTTAAAGGGAAAACTCAAACCTCAATAGAGTGCTCTACTTAAGACTCCTTTTATATAACTTAGACAATGAGCTACATCTTGGTAGAGACCTTAGGGAGTCAACCAAACGACTGAGATGGGGCAGGAAAACCTAGACTTCGAAGAAGCCTTGTAATCTGCTTCATAAAATGCAGAACAGGCTGGTATCGGTGTGAAGCTCTCCTGCGAACTGGTGTTTTCATTACTGTGGGTCAAAATGGATGCGAAAAAAGGACCTTCAACCTTGGGCAAACTGGGACAGCCAGAGCACAGGCGACTCTATCTTCCCGTGAGTGAGGGGAGTTCATAGTGAAAGAAGTTGTAAACTAAAACCAGCAACTTTTAATTCAGCCCTTTGCAAGACGTGGGAAATGGTGATTGGAAAGTTACAGGAGAAGCAACATGATTTTTTTTAAAACAAAGATCTCGCTGGGGCTGACTCATCTTCTGAGAAAATGTGATTCAGGGAAGGAATCGAGGGGGTTGTTCTCCCCCTCGGGCCATGGGTTTAGGGGTGGAAGTTGTAGGCGGTCCACTCCTTCCCTTGGAGACATCGGGATTCATCTTCTATGCAGATGTCCCAGTTCCTTTCAGCCCTGTCTTGCTGTATGCCTTTATTCAACTGAAAAAGACTTCAAATGCGTGTAGTTCTTTATTTCTTATTGCCAAGAGAACCTATATTCTAACTTCTTGCTGTCATAGGAGCTTGAAAGCTGCAGAAGTACTGCTTCTTATTTTCTTGTGGCCCTCCAAAGAACTGTACTTTTCAAAGCTTATAAAAAACCCAGCGTAGAATATGAAGCCATTCTTAAATGAGTTTATAAATAAATGGTACTAGAGAGCACGGCCTTATATCTGGGGCATTAAAAAAAAAGAAAAAAAGTTACAGAGCAAGGTCTGCAAATATGAATTCCTGTGCCTGGGAATTCCAAAATCCCACTGTTTTTCCCCCTAACTCGCAGTTGAAGCCTAGGCTGCTAATCAGCACGAGACCTTCCAGCTCCTTCCTAAAGTGTGGTCCAGTGACAGACACAGGAGGGCAAAGCCGCAGCTCCCTGCAGAACCTGGGGCACGACACCCTTGTCTCCAGGGTGCACATTTCAAGAAACTAAAATAAATATTCTTGTGTTGACATAAGAAGAATGACTGGGTGGTTGGGAGCCGTGAAGCTTCTAATGCTGATTGTAACACCAAACGTACCGTAATGTTTGTTTAAATAGAATGATGCAAACTGCAGATGTCTATGCTGGTATCAAAGTGAGTAAGGAGGGAATTTTTGGTGGAGTTATTTTGCTTTTAAGTGCACCAGAAAAATAAGCACTTAAAAGTATCACACAACTGACGGAGAACAGCAGTTCCCAGTAAGAAAGTGTTGTGCTATAGGACATGACACATCTCCTGGACACTTTAAAATTCCTTATTGTCTGTTCCTGTGTCATAAGTTACTTCCTAACACACCCCGTTGCTTGCAAACTGAGTAACTGCGCAAACAAGTGATGGAGGGGCAGGAATAAAAGGCAACTTCAGTGGAAGAGCTTGTTAACACAGGTTATTCCGTGGTGCCTGATGTAACAGGCACTGAATCAGACCTGATTGTGGAGGGAGGGGTAGACTTTTTTGTTGTTGAATTGCACTTATCTTCAAAGCTGCTGCAAATGATTCTACGTTTATTCAGCAGGACAAGTCCTGAGGCTTTTAGATTTGATGTTGTTCATTGCTGTGCCATTTGTTAAGATGATTTGGCTTTTAATCCGCCAATGAATACTGAATGAAGAATTCAGTCATGAATCAGATCTCTTCTCTTGCTTGCCAGTAACACAAGCCATTTTTATTTTAAATTTCAGGTTTCTTTTACAGTACAGGACAAAAATAAATTATGAGTGGAAAGAAGTTAAAATTGTTCCTCTAAAGCAACTCTCCTGCATCAAGGCTTAATCCTTCCATTATGTGTGATATCATTAATCATTCTACTGTAATATTTGACACACACATTCGTGGGACAAATTCAGATCCAGTATAAAAGCTGCAATAATACTGAGTTATGTGGAACTGCAGCTAATTATAACATATTTGAATTTTCATCTTTCCTGTAAGACCTCTACAAAATGAACAACCTTTCACAGCATTGCAGTGAGACTAACTGAGACCAGCAAGCAGAAGAGGGGAGAGGAAAGAAACATTGTCCAAGGACAACAGGAGAAACCTCAGCATCATAATAAGCCAATATCTGTGGAAAATATGATCAGTTGTTGGTGGATTCTTTTTAATTGTAGGGTGTTTTTTTGATGTTTAAGCTCTCAAATGGCTTCTCTGCCACAAACTGCACCACTCAGCTTATTTAAGTTGGAATGGTTGCGTTGCCTTGATATGGAATGACTGATCCTGCCATCTTTGGAGACTAAACGACATTTCTGTCTTCCCAGGTGGACTAGAAGAGTCAAAGATGACAGGACACTTTCAGCCCACTGAAGGAAGATATTACAATGCAAGAGGGTGAGAGTTCACTCAATGTTTTCTGCAGTGCAGCCTCTCCTTCCTCTCTCCCCTCCAGTGTCTTGACTATGCCTTCATTTATAGCCCCCCTAGACCCCGCTGCCTTTTGAGTTCCTTATCTCAGGTGTAAGCGTTTGCTACAGCTCTTTGAAGAAGCATCAGGCATTATTCTGCTTTGAGATCCTGCCAGTGCCCAAAGCCTTGGATCCATCTGGAGAGAGAAAATGAGCAGCATAAATACCCAGTCTGTATGTTCTGAAAGCTGATTGTTAGCTCAAAAGGTGGTTAGGCTCTCTTCTATTTTTGCATTTGGGATCCTAAATCTGAGTGCGGGCTCATTACTCTTTTGAATTATGTATCAGAGGTAATTTCCTTTCCTGGATAGTGAATCCTACAGTTGTGCAAATCTATTCCAAAAAAGGATTGCTTGTGTGTTTGACACACTGCTTTCATCTTGGGTAATCTTCCTCTTCAGAAAAACAAATTGTCCATTTAAATTCACTGCAATCATTGGTTTTGCCCTCCATCTAGAAAATGAGAGGAGATCACAGACTTAGCACATTTTCTAGATGCTAAGATTCAGAGTACTGAAGGAGCAGCGGCTTCCTTGAGCAGCCACACTCTTGTGTTAGCCTTAAGCACCCTCAATTGATGTATTTTTCATTTTCCAATGCATTGCCACCATTTCTGTTCTGATGTGCTTCACCAAAGCAGTAATATTTCTTAACCTAAAAGAAGCGCTTATTTTGAAGTTTGCAGTTATGGGAGAGTATTAATGTTATGATTGTTCCCTTAGCTGTTTGTTACATGCTGTAGGCCAGGATTGTGCTGGTTGAGATTAACATAGCACAAACTGCTGTTTAAATCTGCCCCGAGAAAAATCTCAGAATACCTGTGTGAAAGCCAGATTAATGGCACTGTTTCAGGCACAGAACAGAGCAGTAGAAAAATGGCCATCAGGAAATAAGGTTTCAATAAAGGGTAGACTTTTCCTACCTTTCCTGCCAAGTCCTTTTAAAGATGTCTTCAAGCAGAAACAGAAGGGCTTGTTGCACAGCACTATTTACTGTGTCGTCTCCTCTTCACAGTTTCCTGCGATGGTTTCCCTCTTGCGTGCAATTTCCCTCTTTATCCCCATTTTTAAGGTATGACTCTACTTCAGTGCATCTGTTCTTATTCTCCATCCTTTTGCTTTTCTAAACTTCATTGCATTTCCATAGAAATCAGCTTGCTTTTTTTTTTTTTTTTTTTTTAAACTCCTGTCTGCCTTGCATTATCTTTCAAGGCCTTAGAAGGTCTCTGCATCTTTTTTGTTACCCTCTTTCTATGGAACATCTTCATCCTCTGTGTAGATCTTCTATCTTAAGCCCAGTTTCTTCAGCGGTTTCACTTCATCTCATTGCTGCTGGACTTTCTACACCTTGTCTGCAACGTGTTGTCCTTTTGAGTTACAGGTGGAAGACTGAGTTGCAAATCTGCAGGAACCCTTGACTTCCCCAGAGAAATTTTGTAGCCAAATATAGATGTCCAATTCCATAGCAGGTTGGCAGCTTTCTAATGTTATTTGTGGTGTTTGAAGAAGTATTATTTCCCAAAGGCACTTACGGTGTTCTCTTTACTCAAGCCCACCACATGCTGTAGTCATTTTCTAAATTCAGTTTGTATTCTACCTCCTAAAACCAAGGATGACTCAGCTCTACCTCTGCAACCTCTAACGTGCACATATCTATTACGTAGAGCTAGTACAAATTATATGATCCACCATTTAAGGCTTCAATCGAGGTTTTTAATTGAGAGCTGTATAACTTTACCATGCACAGGCTAGATCAATTTTTTGCTTTAATTTGTGGATTTTAAGAGAATGGTGAGAGAATATTCAAAGACTTTCTCACTTCTGTGAACTCATTCTCCAGGTACTGGCAGGATCTTAGCATATGGGTTTGCTAAAGTTGCTGCTCCCAGTGATTTTAATGGTACCAGACACATTCCTTGCTTGACTTGTTTGCCCTTTTTATCAAGAGTTTAACATCGCCCTTTCAGGGCACTTCTTTGCATAAATATGTTCTTGTTTACATAGTTGTGGTCTTGCAAGTGATAATGGGCAGAGCTGTTCACCTGAAACATGTTTTACAGAATAAACAGTAGCAGCCAAAGGTGTGAGGATGAGATTCTCAGCGCTTTGTTAGCACAGATGGACTGGGAAAAGGGCACTAAAAGCCTTGGAAACAAGCATATAAAATGGGATTCTTGGACGGAAATGTAAGATGCCACCTACCTAACAGGGTTAACAGGAAAGGTGTTCTAGGGAATGCCGCAGCCTTGCAGCCTTCATTCGAAGTGGTACTGTTGTCACAGACAGCAGGTAAGTACCAGTTCTCATCTCGAATATATCTACACGGTAAATTAACCATGACCATTGCGAGTGTCAACATACCTGCAGTAGCGTAAACTGCCGTTGACTAGGACTTATCTGAGAGCAGCCGTTTCCAGAGCCTTTCCCGGCTGAAAGCATTTAGTTTTTTTCAGCTGCTAGCATCACATTGATGTTTTGCTGGAGACTCTTTCTCAATCTCCCTTCCTCCCTGCCACCTAACAGTCATATGAATTAATTGCACATAAAGCTCTCGATGACCACCAAGGAAAGAACAAGATCTGGTGGGTTAGAACTGTTCTGCCTGGGGAGGACTGATCTCTGTATGAAGGGGAATCTGTTATCCTAGAACTTCTTGCTGCTTGTTTTTTAGGTGGTGCACCTGAGCACTGATTGCCTCGCTTTTGAAGCAGAATATACTGTGTTGCAGCCTCGCGGCAGGACTTCAGCTCTTACACGCTGGTGTGTCTGCGGTGTAGTACTAGGAGCAGGGCTACGCTACTGGAGCTGAGAATGCCGCTGAGGCCGTACCTCGTGCTTATCTGTGAGGTTTCCTCAAAAGTAACCAGATTGAAACGGCTTTTTGGAAAAATGAGGGTAAGACCATTGTAATTGGAGCTGTCTCAGTAAAAATACTTCCAAAATGAATCAAGTCTCTGGTATGCCGTGCTTGCGTATGGGGATGCTGCTTTCTTTTGTGTTAACAGTGTCCTCCCATAACCTATTTTGTCTGCACAGGATGAGGCAGAGGGGTAGGTGTATTCTGGCTGTGCAGTTGCTCTGACCTCTGACAGAGGCACCACGTGGCAGTGGAAATTCAGACTCTCATGAGGCCTTCACGCTTTGCATGCCGCTGTACTTACACCATTTGTGACTGGATTGCAAGTGGTGCTCAGTAACCTGCAGCCGATTACTTCAGTTTCTGCTCTGCCCCAAAAATCAGGTCTTCACGTACCCCAAACTAACAAGCCCTTTTTTTGCAGCTGTTTCACCACCATGAAAATATGTTAGCTAAGAGGCCTTGCAACCATTAATTCTCACCAAGCACTATGTAAATATTAAGTAATAAAAGTATATTAATTTATATAGCACTTTAAATGCTATATAAATTCAACCTCAAATGAAAGCCCCTATCCAGAGATTTATAAAGAGCTTGTACATTTTGGCCTGGGAAGAAAGAAAAATGCCTCCTATTTTAAGAAAAGGGAAAAGCTTAACTCAGAATGTCCTGTTAATTACTCATGTATTCACATTGCACAATAAAGTATTTACATAAAAATGTATCCGTTTTCAAAAAGAACTTGTTAACTCCATTTTCCAACTGAATTTGGCCAAGTTGAAAAGAAAATTATATATGCTAGAGGACTGCAGTAAAAGAGATTTAGGGGTTTTCAAATACTATAAAAAAGAGACTATAATAAGTGACTAGTGGACCAGTCAGCTGCTTTAATTAAAACTGGGCTGCTTATTGATCTATCGTACAGATTTACCCCCATCTGCAACATTTCAGCAATATTCCCTTCAACCACTTCAGAAAATAGTGCTTGTAAGAGACACTAAAGAATATGAAAGTTGGGAACGGAAATGTTTTATAACTATGCGACGTTTTGTACAAAGATGAATTTTTTTTTTTTCATTCTTTTTATAAGTAACATGGTGAAATTAAAATAGCGTCAATGCAAATTTGGTGCAATTGATTTTAAAGCCAGAAATGTGTCTTTTAATAGTGGCACCAGCTGTGGCAGAACATCAGCACTGAAAGAAACCGGTGCCATGCTCCAGTTGTTCAAAGAAATCAGAGGCACGGCTGTTTCACACCGACCAGAGCACAAACTGGAGAAGGTGGTGGTGATGATGATGATGATGTGTGCTGGTTTTAATTAAATTCATGGAGAGCTTTGCTATGCTTGGAGAGGTTGGCAGCCTGTGTGTCTTCTCACACAGGTGGTGCCCGGTGAGCACCTGCCCTCAGTGTTGGTGGCAGGATGAAGCAACCTATGATTATTATTCAATAGGTGTATTTTAAGGGGAAAAAAAAAAACCAAAAAAAACCCGCACAACTGTGTTGTTTTTTATTGCAGAAGGACTTGGAGCTTGCTGGTAGCACCATCAGTTGTGGGTTTTAAGAGATTGGGGGTAGATGTAGAGATGGTTTTCTTTTCAGAGGGGGAAACCTCACTGTTTTCTTTTTAGATGAGAAAACCGTCTCATTTTCCTTTTATTACCCCAGGAAACCCCCCCCGCAGCGCTGTGGCAGGGAGCAGCAAGGCGCTCTGAGGGCTTTTAGTCCGCAGACCCCTATAAAGCCCACGGCCTTCTAGGCTGCTCGACGTAAGCAATTTCACGTGGGCGGGTAATTTCTCTAGCAGCCTAAAAATAAAAAGAGGGTGAAACCCCCCCGGGGTGTTTCCCCTCCAGGCCGCCCCGCGGGCTCACCCCTCAGCTTTAGCCGCCATTTTTCGGCGGGGCGGGAGCTCCCCGGGGGCGGGCCAGCCTGCCCCGCGCCTCCTCCTATTGGCTGGGAGCGGGGAAGGGGGCGTGGCTCCCCAGACGTCCTCTCCTCACCCGCGGGAGGGGGCGGTCTTCCCGGGCGGCGCGATGATTGGCCGCCAGGCTGGAGCCGCGTGACGTCCCTCCCCCGCGTCTC